CACACCCCCACACCCCACCCCCACCTGGGATGTGGGTGGGACTCGCCAGGAGACCCGCCGCTCTGGCCCTGGCTCCACTCCCAGCCCCTCTCAGCCCCCTGGAGGGCTCTTGGAGCACCCCAAGCCTACCCTGCCCCAAGCCCACCCAGACCCCGTCCCACCGAGACCCCCACCTGTACGTCTTGCCCTCCTTTGCAGTCTCGCCCGAGGCCAGGATGGGGTAGGGGACTACTAGGACAGGCGGACCCCCTGGGTTCTCCGCCTTGATCTTTTTGCGGCCGCGTTCGGACTTGGGGGGGCCAAGCAGGCCATGGCCCTGGATTGTCTTGATGGAGTCCAGGAGGGGGGGGCTGGTGATCCCTGAGATGAGGGTGGGGGACGAGGCGATGAGGCGGCTCTGGCTGGTGGTAGTGGGTGTGGACGGGGTGCTGGTGCCCGTGCCCGTGCCCGTGCCCGCGCTCGATTCGGAAGTGCTCACAGCCGGGGTGCGGGAGGAGAGCCCAAGACCTGCGAAGACACAGAGAGGGGCAGGGGTAAGGGGAGCGGCAGAGGCCAGCCCAGCCTGACGTCGGCAGGTGGCCCTGCCTCTGACCTTCTCTTTCCGGTTCGTAGGTTATCGCCAGGGCTAACTGAATGAGAGCTTGTGTGTTTATAAGATGCCTTAGATACATTAAGACTAAACTGAGTTAGATACCAAAATTATTTGGAAATAATTCAAACTGCAGAAAGAGACTGAGGCACAAAGATGTTCACTAGTGTCTTATTTACAATAGAAAAATGTCCAGGTAACTGAAATACGCAACATTAAGGAAGGAGTCAGTAAACAGTGATCAATTTCCTCTACTGAACTGCCCATTAAAAAGGAGGTTATAATGACTGGGTGTGGTGGCTCAGCCTGTAATCCCAGCACTTTGGGAGGCCGAGGCAAGAGGACTGCCTGAGCCCGGGGGTTTGAGACCAGCCTGGGCAACTTAGCAAGACCTTGTCTCTACAATAAATCAAAACAATTGGCCAGGTGTGGTAGCACGTGCCTGTAGCCCCAGCTACTTGTAAGGCTGAAGAGGAAGGATTGCCTGAGCCTAGCAGGTCAAGGCTGTGGTGGCCATAAGGGTGCCACTGCACTCCAGCCCTGGCGACAGCATGAGACTACAACTCAAAAATAAAAATAAAAAAGGAGTTATGTTTGTTTGAACAAACCACATATGTATGAACAGAAAAAATTAGTAGGCAAGGATGTGCCAAAATATGATGTGGATGGTAGAATTAGGAGTAATTTTTTTAAAACTTGGCTTAATTGTACTTTTTGATTCTTTGACAATCAACTTTTTTTAAACTTCTGTAAAAAGAGTTATTCTTTTAAAAATGTGGAGACTAGAAACACAGTATCAAGTTAAGTAGACAAAAAGGTGAAGATGATATCTAACGTGTGGTTCAAACTTTTTTTTAAAGAAACTAGGCCAGGAACACTGGCTTAGGCCTATAATCCCAGCACTTTGGGAAGCTGAGGCAAGAGGATAGCTGACCCCAGGAGTTTGAGACCAGTGTGGGTAGCACAGCAAGACCTTGTTTCTACAAGAACCAAAAAATAGCATGGTGGTGCATGCCTGTAGTCCCAGTTACTCAGGAAGCTGAGGCAGAAGGATCACCTGAGCCCAGGAGGTCAAGGCTGCAGTGAGCAGTGAATGTGCCACTGTACTCCAGCCTGGGCAACAGAGTGAGATCCCGACTCAAAAAAACAAAAAAAGAAACTACATCTGGTGCACTGAAAAAGATAATGTCGAGCTGGCACAAGGATATTTTGGACCATACACTGGTGATGGGAGTGTGTACTGGTGCAGACTTAATGGAGGGTAGTTTGCCAATAGCCATTAAATTTTAAAACACAGAATTTTTTTTTTTTTTTAGTCAGTCTCACTCTGTTACCTAGGCTGGAGTGCAGTGGCATGCTCATGGCCACCACAGCCTCAACCTGCAGGACTCAGGTGATCCTTTCCACTTCAGCCTTCCAAGTAGCTGGAACTACAGGTGTACACCACCACACCTGGCTAATTTTTTGATTTACTGTAGAGATGATGTCTCACCAAGTTGCCCAGGCTGGTCTCAAACCCCTGGGTTCAGACAATCCTCTTGCCTCTGCCTCCCAAAGTGCTGGGATTATGGGCATGAGCCACTGTGCCCGGCTCAAACATATAGAGCTCTTGACCAAGCAATTTTATTTCTAGACATCTACCATAAAGAAATATTCAGGGCCAGGAGCAGTGGCTTACACTTGTAATCCCAGCACTCTGGGAGGCTGAGGCGGGAGGATTGCCTGAGGTCAGAAGTTTGAGACTAGCCTGGTCAAAATAGCAAGACCCCGTCTTTACAGAAAATAAAAATTAAAAAATTAGCCAGGCATGGTCGCGTGTGCCTGTAGTCCCAGCTACTTGGGAGGCTGAAACAGGAAGATCACTTGAACCCAGGAGGTCAAGGCTGCAGTAAGCTATGATTACACCCCTGTATTCCAGTCTGGCTTACAAATGGAAGGGAGGGAGAAAAAGGAAAGGAAAGATGCATACATGAGCACATGAGCCTTCTATACATACCTACAATCAGACATAATTGGACAAAACCTGTTTGTCCTTAGTATGGGCTTTGTAAACAGATGGGCCATGCTCATTTAGAAGGACTGCACAGCCACTGAAACAAGATCGATGTGAAGCAGTGTGCTGTCAGGTAAAAAAACAGATATGAGCCCATCTATTTTAAAGAACACATTCATACTACATACATATGTATGGACAACTTATGTATGTATACAGAGACAGATCTGAAGAGACACATCAAAAGACTAATAGTGGAAGAATAATTTTTCTGGCAAAAGAAGATTCATACTTTATCTGCTTCTATGTTATTTGAGTCTTCTACCTGGTGAATTCATCCATTTTTAAAATCTGATTTAAGTACAATAAGTTGTAAAATGCAATAAATTACAGAAAAAACATAAAATTCTAACAATAGTAGGACTAAGGCTAATTGTTTTCAGCTTGTCTGCAATTTCTCAAATTTCTATAATGACTATGTATTACCTTTGCAATAAAAATTGGAATAAATGTGTTCATGAAAAAATGCAATTAGGAAAAGCAAGTTTAAGCAATGGATACAGCCCTACCACAAGCTCAGCAAAACATACACATATATTAAAAAACAAACAAAAAATACGGCAAAGGCAGGAAATGGACCACAGGCTCTCCAAGCTACTGGGTTGGGAGCTGAGGATTATAAGTGGGTTTTTTGTGTTAGTTTCTCTTTTTTCCAAATTTCCTTTAATATGCTTATATTACTTATTTAATATTACTTTTATAATGAAAAAAATAAATTTAATAAAGTCATAATAACAAGGCACGTGCAGCGTGTGGCTGGGGCCTGGGGAGGTTTGCCAGGCTCTATAATTCTTGGGTGTCTCTGAGAAAAGGGAGAAGAGAGGGATAGTGGCAGAGGCACCTGGCTGGTGGCAGGGGGCAAGCCGGGGGAGGAAAAAAGGCCCAGCTGCAGTGACCTCAGAAGAAAGCCCATCTGCCAAGCTCCAAGGAGGGCATCAGGCGGCTCCAGCCCCTTGACACTACTCCGGATGTCCCCAGGATGTCTTCCTGGTACTCCTTCCTTTCCAAGACTGAGCTCACATCTTTCCCCTGCCCAGTACCTCTCCCAGCAATTCTATCACAGGGGCAGTGCCAAGTGTCTTGCTTACTTCCTCCCTCTCCTAACCCTCCTACATACTGTCCAGCACCAAGCCCAGCCTACTCTTCTTCCTCAAACGTACCTCAGATCTGTCCACTGCTCTTCATCTCCCCTTCCACCGCCTTGCCTCGGCCACCATCCCTTCCTGACCGTCTTCCTGCTTCCATGCTTGGGCCCTGACAACCCAGTCTCCACCTCGGAGCCATAATCAGTCTTCTCAGCACAAATCTGAGCAGTTCCCTCCCCTACTCAAAAGCCTTTAATGGCTCCCCACTGCCTGAGGGTAAGGTCCAAACTGCTTAGTGAGGCCCTCAGGGCCCTTCATAATCTAATGCCTGCTTCCTCTCAGCCTCAGCAGAACTGGGCATAGAAAAAAAGGTTTAGACATGGCTCTGGAAACACATGCTTGTCTCTGCCTCTTACTAGCTATAAACCATGGTTGCACATGACTTTCATCTTTATCTGCCTCGGTTTTCTCATCTGTTGAATGGAGACATTAGGGAGAACTGCATGAAATTGCTGTTTCTGAACGCCAAAAACAGTCCATTGTCGTACCTAATACTGATAGCACCCACCTCACAAGGCTGCTGGAGTAATAAAATGAATATTGGTAAACACAACTGGAGTCAGATGCCATTATCATCATCTTTTACCCACCACCCCAAGAGATGGTGCTTTTCTTGTACACACATAAAGGGAGTACACACACACACATACTCCCTTTACACCTGCTGTAACCTCCCCCTGCTCCATTCCCCTAGTTTGCCCCAGACCCTTCCTTGCATTTTGGCTCCTCCAAGGGAGTCTTCCCTCACCCCTCAATCTGGTCAGGGCTGTTCTCTGCGTTCCCAAAGTTCTCTGTGTTGACTTGAACTTCCTAGTGAGCCACTGGATAGCAACCCTCCCCGTCGTGTCCACTGGGGGAGAAGGGTCCTTCCAGTAGAGGGTCGGTGGAAGTTCAGTAGCTGTGGCTAGTCTAACCAGCCCCGCCAGCCACCCCAAGCTCTCCAGGACCCCCAGGCCCTGCCTGACTGCAGTGCTCTCCCCTAGCCAGGTCCGACCCTCAACCAAGCCCCCGCCTACACCCTCCCCGCCCCGCCCAGTCCTCACTAGCCCCGCCCCAGGCCCCTCCCACTACCCCGGCCCCGCCCAGACCGTCGTACCTGTGACGGTGCTGGTGGCCGGCCGCGCGTGCAGCGCCACGTCCGGCTGCGGCACGGCCTGCGGGTGCAGCCCAGGCACCTGCTGCAGCTTGGGCAGCGACATGACGGCCTGGCTGCTCTCGGCGGGCGCCGGAGGCACTAGCAGCGGCTGCTGCGACGAGGCCGACGTGGGCGGCAGGTGAGGCGGCCGGATCTTCTCGGCCATCAGCTGCTCCTTGATCTTGTTAATCAGGACCAGGTTGTCCAGCTGCGGACGGGAGACGAGAGGGGCTGAGGGGGCTTGGGCCGCGCCCCGCCTCTTCCCAGGGCCCGCCGATCCACCCACGAGCCCCCTGGCCCCGCAGGCCTCAGCCAAAACCCGGGGCAAAGTGAAGCAGCTCCAACATGGGGAGGGCGGCCGGAGGGGCGACGTCAGTCTTACCTGGCTGGGCATGGTGGGAGGAGGGGGCCAGAAGTAGGGGTTGTTAAATCGAGGCTCGGCCATCCTGCGGGGAGAGAGCGACTGTCACAGGGAAGAGAGCCCTCCCCACCGGCCTGGGGCGAGCTCCCGCCAGCTACGCCCACTCAAGTCGGGGCCAGTGTCTGGGATCCCTGCCCCCGCGGGACCCCCAGCCTCACAACAGAGCATGCCTCCCACCAGGCCCAGGGAGCCACATCTCCAGGCTGAAGAGTCTGGAATTCAGTGTCCCCCTCAGTAGGCCCCAGAGAGCAAAGGTCACATCCAGACCAGACTGCTCCCAGACCAGACTGCTCCCAGCCCACCCTCACCTCCTACACCTTGCTGCTGACAGACCAATCTCCATTCCCCAAGAAGGCCCTAAGCTGTAGAGCCAACCCCATGGATCCATGGATTCCACACAGAACACTGCCGCCCACCCCAATCCAGAGACAAACTAAGGTGTTTTGGAGCAACAACTTTGCAAATGGCCACAGAGGAGAAGCAACTGCCCATCCCTGATCCCTACTCGTCTGCCCCCTGCCCCCTTGAGTACAGACAGCCTCACCAAAATTCAGGGGGCAACCAGATATAGCCTTTCTGAAGGACAGTTTGGAAGGGCAATTTATAGAGATCCAAAGATTATTACCCTTTGACTCAAGAAACTGTACTTCTGAAAAGTTATCTTCAAGAAAAGGGCAGGCAACATGTGGTTGTGCAAGGACATCTGCAACATTTGGCCTACAAGGATGTGTATCAGAATGCTGTGCTTGAGGAGGGGGTTGCGGTGGCCTGAAGCTAGGGCAGTTGGGGGCTCTTTAGTAAAAGTATGCGATAGTCTGTCTGGTGATTCTCACCTGTGGAAAGTTCCATGGCAGGCCTGTGTGGTTAAAAGGCCTTTTCGACCATGGCAGTATTCAAGATGGGCCTTCAGGGTTGCCTCAGTCTTCCAGAGGGTTTGAGTGTTCCTGCAACCCTAGAGTAAGTCAAGAGGTGACTTACAAGGATCATGTTGGACAGAGGTATTCCACCAAGTCTTGCTCCCTATCAAGTTTCTCTTATCGTTCTCTTACAGAAATTACCTAACTGGTATTGTTGTTTAAAATAAATTGTTTATTTTGTCAGGAAAGGCCAAAATGAAGTGCCTTCAAGCACTTTTCCTGGTCTGTGAGCCTTGAGAAGCCCCTATTGGAACTGTAGGCATAGAGTTGCAGGAGAAAACGTTCAAGTAAGAACAACAATCTAACCTCAAAATTTCTTGTTTTTCATTTTGGAGTTGGAGTCTCACTCTGTCGCCCAGGTTGGCATGCAGCAGCACGCTCACAGCCACAACAGCCTCAACCTACTGGGCTCAGGTGATCCTTTCACCTCAGCCTTCCAAGTAGCTGGAACCACAGGCATGTGCCACCACGCCCAGCTAATTTTTTGATTTATTGTAGAGACGAGGTCTCGCCATGTTGCTCAGGCTGGACTCGAACCCCTGAACTCAGGCAATTCTCTCGCCTCTGCCTCCTAAAGTGCTGGGATTAAAGACTTGAGCTACCGCGCCCGGCATAATCTAAACATTTTAAGAAAGAATTTTTTTTTTTTTTTCTTTTGAGTTGGAGTCTCACTCCATTGCCCAGGCTGGAGCCCAGTGGCACGCTCCCGGCCACTGCAGCCTCAACCAGCTGTGCTCCAGCGATCCTTCTGCCTCAGCCTTCCAAGTAGCCAGAACTACAGGCGTGCACTACCACAGTCAGCTAATTTTTTGTTTATCGTAGAGACGAGGTCTCGCCAAGTTGCCCTGGTGGGTATCAAACCCACAGGCTCAGGCAGTCCAATCGCCTTGGCCTCCCAAAGTGCTGGGATTACAGACTGAGCCCAGCCAAGAAAGAACTTTTATATGAATTATCTCTTGGGATCTTTACTTGAAAAGTAGGCCTAAGAGGTATCATTATCCCATTTTATGGATGAAGAAACTGAGACTTGGAGAGAGGGGAAGGAAAAGACCTGTCCAAGACCACAGGGCTAGGGTGCTGAAGTCAAAATTAGAAATCAGATTTGCTCAAGCTGGTTCCTCTGGGGAATTTGCTTTGCAAACCCTGGTCTTTGATAAAGCAAATGCCCAAATGCAAATGGTTCGATACCTATATGCAAAGTCCTTGCCCCTTACTCCCAGCCTGTGGGCCATTTTGGGTCTAAGCCTGGCCAGGTTGGGGGTCAGGGCACCCTCCTCTGGGGCAGCTCCTTCTTCTATCAGCCTGCTCCCACCACCCACAGGCACCAAGATGCTCTTCCCTCTGCCCATCCCTTACAGCCCAACACAAGAAGTACTCCTTGCCTGGAGTTCTCCCTGGCTACTCTAGACCCCTGGGACTTCTCCTTATCTAGGGAAAAAAAACCTCAAAACAATAACAATGAAGAGGTTGCAAGTTACCAAGTGACTCTTGTGCCAGGCACACTGACAAAGGCAGGGAGGTACTCTCATCATCCTCATTTTACAATGGAGGACACTGAAGTTCAGATAGATGGAGTCACTTGCTCAAGGTCACACAGCAACTAAGCAGACAGCTGAGATTCCCACTTTAATCTGCCTGACTCCAAAGTCCAGCTCATCAGTCCCTTCACTGTTCAGGGATCAACCAAGAACCCTGCCTGTACGCTTGCGAATAAGCCCTGACTTAGGGCATGACATGGCTGCAACCCTGCAGGTGAGCACCCACTTACTCACTGTCTCAGCAACTGTCCCAACCCTGTTGTCCACAGAGGGAAACATGGAGGGACCAAGCTGTAAATCCAGGGTGAAGAGGCTCCAGGGCTGGGGGACAGGGAACAGGGGAGCCTGGGAATTGGATACACCTGTCTTGTTCTTCTGGGTATCCCCAGCACCTAGGCTCAGAGGTTATCAATCATGCGAGTTGCATGATGGAATGAATAAGGGAATAATAATCAGAATTATTTGAAAGCCAATCCCATACAATTATCTAGGTTTACAAAGCTCTTCTCTTCCCAGTGGCATTCTCATCAAAACCCAGGAGGATGGCAAGTAGGGAAGAATTTTCACCCCCCGTTTCACGGAGGAAGAAACTAGAGCACCAGGAGGGAGGCATCTTGCTCCAGGCCACATGAACGGGAAATGGGAAGCAGCACTGTGCTGCAATGTTGGGTGTCAGCCCTCTAAGCCTCAGTTTTCCTCTGCTTCATTGCCCCCCACCCTCTTAGCACAGCATTCAGTGCCCTGTCGATGGGCCTGCCTCGTCTCTGTCTCTTGGTAAGAGAGGCAGGCCCGTAGGCAAGGCACTGAATGCTGTGCTAAGAGGGTGGGTTGGAATGCTGGTGGTGAGAAGGTATCAGGGAGTATGCTGACCTGGGGGGTGGGGGGCAATGAAGCAGCGGAGATGGCTGAGGTCATAAAGAAGTCTGAGCGTCCAGTGAGAGTTGGGGACAGGGAACAGAGCAGCCAGGCAACGGGAGTTGAGGGTGCATGCCCACGGGACAGGGAGGCTCGCTGGTGCTAGTGCAGGGCAGGCAGGCTGGACAGGGCCCCAGGCACCAGACAGAAGCCAAGACTCTGCATTGAGTCCTAGACACAGTGCTGATCCTTGCAGTGGGGCAATTAAACTGTCATTTTGTTTTTCTTCTAAAAGGTGGAAAAAGTTGCATGAGTGGATGGATGACACACTCCCTTCAAAAACACTCTGCTGATGGCAGCCAGTCCATCTATCCGTCTACTCGTACTGGACATATCTTATGGGCCAAACTGGGACCAGTGCTGGGGGACCTGAACCAGGTGAGAAGAGCCTGCCCTCTGGGAGTCCCCAGCTAAATGGAGGAAGCAGACAAGTGACCACAAGTAACCACAAGCTTCTGCCAAAAGGAACTCCCTCCGACGAGACCTGCCACATACCACCAAGGACCTCCATGTGTTCAAAGCTGATGGGCCACCTTCCAGTGCCATCCTCCAAGGCCTCCCTGCCACCTGAGTCCTTGGAGAAGACCTGTGTGCCATGACCTCTGGGTTTCTTACCTTCTCAGCTTCCTGTGCAGCTCCCCAACCCCTACCTCTTCCCCAGCTGGGCCCCACAGGATGGGGTGGGAGTCCCCTCTCTCCCCCTGGCCTCTGTCCCTGGATGGCCCATCCACTCTAGAACTTTAACAGCCAGCCACACCCCAAACTCCACCGCCAGGCAAGCCTCTCCCTGAAGCTTCAGGCCAGCTCTCCAGCTCCCTCCTTCTGGGTTCTCCTGGGTTACTCAGACTCAGCAGGCCTGAGCTGGACCTGGTCTTCTCCCGTGACAGGTACCTCATCAAGTCATCCCCAACCCTGAGAGGGACATCACTCGCTGCCCAAATATCCTGCCACAGACACACACTGACCAAACACTTCCCTCCCCTTCCACCTCAGACCCACCACCAGCCATACCTCAGGAATCCATTTCCAAAATCTCTTTCAAACCCACCCAGCCTTCTTCACAAGTTCCAGTTACTGGCACTTCACCTGGACCATGGAACAGCCTGCTTCATGTGGAGCCCAGCCTACCCAGATTCAAATCTTGGCTCCAACTCACCAGCAGTGTGATCCTAGGCAAGTCACCTGCTCCTGCCCCCCACATTAAGAGATTAGCAGTCCAGAGCCAGGGGCCTGACCTGGCCTGGAGAGGATCACAGAGACTTTCCAGGGGAGGTAATGCCTGCCTTGGGTCTTAAAGGATGAGTGAGAGTTCGCCAGACAAAGGAGGAGTAGGGAGCATTCCCAGCAGAAGCAACAGCTTGAGCAAAGGCCCACAGGCGAGAAGCACAAAGGGTTCCGGTGCCCACGGGGAGATGGAGATGCAGCTGGAGCCAGCAGCCAGGGCCAGGCCTAGAAGGCTGTTCCCTAACCCCTCGGCCTGGAGCTGGATCTGAAGCAGTGGGTGATGGGCAGAACCTGTGGTTGAAAAAGGCCCTTCTTAGTGCTGTATAGAGAGCAGACTGGAGAGGTGGCAGGGGAAGCCCCTGGGGAGCAGAGGGGAGAGGCAGGGGCCGCACCTGGGCCAGGAAGGAGAGTGGTCAGAGAGGCCTGGCTGTTGGTTAGAGCAAGAGATTGAGAAAGCATGCAGGTCGCCCCTCTGCAGCAGAGCCTGGGAGGCCCTTTGGATTCCAATGCAGACAAACATGGCCACAGAAACATGCAGACAGCACCAAACCCAGACACATATGACAGACACAAACTGATAGGGACCCAGGAACTGCTGTGAGAGGGAACCCACAGTCATCAGGACACAGGAGACTGCTCCAGGAAGGCAAGCACATGCCTCCCCCAGAGCAGACCCACTCAGGGAGGTTGGGATGAACACAATGCCTTAATCCCCCAAAGAACACACCCCTCATTGACAGATTGCAACCTGGAATCACAGGCTCCTTACCTAGAGTGTCCTTTCCCACTTGGTGAACTTCTACTCATCCTTCAAGACCCAGCTCAAGTGTTCCCTCTTCTACGGAGCTTTCCCTGAACCCCCAGCCAGTCACTTCCTCTGTGTTCCCAACAGCACCTTGTATATGGGAATAACAATAACAATAATAATAAAATGGCAGCTACCATTGATTTCAACATCTGTGTGTTGAGTATGTCATGATTCAAGACACTGGATCTTCCCAATGACTCTGTGAGATATGCATTTAACAGAAGAAGCTGCAGCACAGAGAAACCAACCAATGTGCCCCAAGTCACACAGCTAAGTGATGGAGTTAGGATGCCACCCAGATCCAGTCCAGCACTACAAGGCCAATCGCACTCAGATGGAAAATTGTCTGTTTCCCTGGGTACCTTCCCCACAGGTACCTTCACAGATGGGGCTGTTGCTCATTCGCCTCCGCCAACATCTAGCCCAAAGGGGCCACGTGCAATAAGCTGGGAACTGTGTCAGGACATTTGACAGCCATTGTTTTACTGTTACAACAGACCCATCGTACAGTTGAGGAAACTGAGGTCCACTGAGGTTAAGCAACTTGCCTGAGGTCACAGAGCTGAATCTGGATTTGAAACTAGATCTGTCCATACCTTCTCCCAGAAGGGTGGTCTCTGAGTCCAGCCCAGAAAGCTTCACAAAGGGGCACTGGGGGAGAGGAGACTTAGGGAGGGGTCCACCAGGTGCCATGCCCTGCCACCTGGAGACATTCAGACCTAGAAAAACGGACAAAAAGAGGATGGGCAGTCCAGGGTGGAATGTAAGGAGCCTCGCCACTGCAGGGCAGGAGGGTGCAGTGAAGCATCTTATGTCCCACCCCACCCCCACCCCCGTCCCCAGCTCATCCCAGACATTAAAAAGTGAGATTTGGGCTGGGTGTGGTGGCTCAAGCCTGTAATCCCAGCACTTTGGAAGACCAAGGCAAGAGGACTGCCTGAGCCCAGGAGTTCGAGACTAGCCTGGGTAACCTGGCAAGACCTCATCTCTACCATAAGTCAAAAAAATTAGCCGGGTATGGAGGCGTGTGCCTGTAGTTTTAGCTAATCGGAAGGCTGAGGTGGAAGAATCCCCCGAGTCCAGCAGGCCAAGGCTGCGGTGGCCGTTGAGTGTGCCACTGCCCTCCAGTCTGGGCAATAGAGTGGGACTCCGAAGCAAAACAAAAACAAAAACAAAAAAGTAAGATTTCCCCAGACCCCATGATGGCCACATGAGAACTAGCTCCTCACAAAGGAAATGGGAGAGAGCAGGACCCAAAACCATCCGGACACTATGATTACAAGAAGGTAAAAATAAAAACCTGCGTCAGAAAAAGCTTTGAGGAACGACGCCCAGAGGGAGGATGGGGGCGTGGAGGGGAGAGAGTACATCTGGGGCTGACTTGTTTTTTGTCTTTGTTTATCTGATTTTCAAATTCAGAGCAACTGAACAACACAAATGTAGCTCAGTTGCTTTTATAGTGAAAATAATAAATTCATTCTTAAAAAATGAAAGAGAGAAAGTGATTGGTAGCCCAATGTCAGGAACAGATGGAGGGTCTAGAGGTGTGGAGGAGCAGGGGGAGGTCAGGGTCAGCTGCCAGTGGGCACGCCATTGACCGCTGCTTGCCAGGCCCTGCACAGCCCATCCTTGAGGCACATACGACCTGTGCCAGGAAGGGTGATGTCCGATCTGCACCTTGAAGAGGGCTAGAAACCCATGGAGTGGGGAAATAAGAGGATCCCTGCCATGCTCCCGCCCTGGTCCAGGCCCCCTTCAGCTCTGGCTTCAGCAATGGCAAGAGCCTCCTCACAGGTTTCCCATTTCCCCCCTCATCCCCACTCTATTCTCCTATGGCAGTCACTGTGTTATTTCTAAAACAAAAGTCAGATCACAACCCTGCTCTGCTGAGAACCTTCCATAGCTCTCTCCTGCTCTCCAGAAAACGTGTGGATTACTTAGGCCCTACATGTGTGGACCCTGCTGACCTCTCTGGCTTCACTGGCTGCTTCACCTTGCCCTGCCCAGCCTGGCTGACAGTCTCCCCGTGCCACGGGGCTTCCCTCTTGGCCTTTCACAAGCTGCATCCTCTCCCTGGTGCCCTCTGCCCTGCATTTCACTGGCTAATTCCAACTCATCCATCAGGCCCCAGCTTATAGGCCACTTCTTCTTGGAAGCCTGCAGGGACCACTCCACCTCCACCCCTGGCTGCTCTGGGCTCTCCTTGCTGCTCTCTTTGTCCCCTGCATCTCCATCATCAGAGCATTTCTCACTCTGTCTGCTTCTCATCCATCTGTGCTGCTGGACACGTGCTCTGTCAGGGAAGGATCATGGCTGAGTCATTTACCTTTTAAGCCATGCACAATATCTGATAAATATTTGAATGAATGAATGCTTAGGTGGAGGGAACAGAAAGTGTTGTGGCCTGAATGGAAGAAAGCCCCCTCTCCCTGCTCTACGTCCCCTCCACTCAGTCTGGCACCATGTGTCCCCTGTGTTGCACTGTTCCTTGCATCCTGTATCAAAGCCCCATCTTCCAGTTGATCTGAGAAGGGGCTGTGTGTGTCTCTGTAAAGACTAGCAGACCCCAAAAGGATGTTAACGGCTAATAAACACAGGATATGGTTCTGCTTCCCTAGCAATGAAAATTCAATGAGCTTCACCTGTCAAAGTACAAAAAAGAAAATGATAACACCTAATACTGGTGAGGGTATGGTGAAATTGGCACTCCCATAGATTATTAGCAGAAGCATAAACTGGAACAATCATTTTTGAAAGCAGTATGGCAATAATGTGTCAAGAGCTCTAAAAATGTTCAAACTCCCTAGCCTAGTGCTCCCATTCTTGGTCATCATCCCTAGAAAATAACCGCAAAATAGAAAAAGTTACATGCACAAAACTGTTTCCTTCAGTGTATGTGTGTGTGTTTTTATTTAACAATAGCAAAAACCTAGAACAGCCAAAATGTTAAATAGGGAGATGATTCTGTAAGTCATGTCACTCAGTGACATAGTCCATGATCGTTAGTAATAGCCAATGTTACTGGCATTGTAATGACTCATTTAACACTCATATCAACCCATCAGGAACTGAAGTCACAGAGAGATCAGGAAATTTGTCCAAAGTCAAGCAGCAAGTATGGGATTTGAATTCACAATCGGGCTCTGGAGCCTATGCCTTCCACCCAGATACAGGATCCATCAAAAAGAAGGATTAAAGCCACCCTGCTGCCATTTAGAAATAACTCATGAGGTAACAATAGTCAGGGAAAATGGGGAAGATTTTTTAAATGATATGTATAGATCGAGTGATGACATCTATATAAAAACTGGGTGCTGAGAGAAAACAGGGGTTGGTGGTGTTTTGGGCTTGGGGTAGGGGCAGAGTGGAGGGTGGGTTTTTACTGATTTCATGTCCCTATTTTCTGATTTTTCCACATGTCACAGCAGATGGGGAGACAGGCCTGCAGGAGTATCATTAGGTGACTTTTTAAAGGAATATTTTATTTATTTATTATTTTTTTTTTTGAGTTGCCCAGACTGGAGTGCAGTGGCCGCTTCCGGCCACCGCAGCCTCGACTTGCTGGGCTCCGG